CAGGCAAAATGAGCAGAAGTACAGTCTAAGCAGACTCCTTTAAGCTTTAGGCATTCCCCTGGGCTGTCTTTTCCTGGGTGTGGTCAAAGAAGGGGTGCTGTTTACCTTCTCTGACCTATACCTGAGGGCTGGCCCTCAATTTTATAAATACCATTTTGTTATTCTAGGAAATGGCATCTTGAATTGGTTAAGTAAATAAATATGTAAATAAAGCCAGCAAGTGGGTCAACTTGACTGCTGTCTTCTGCCTTTTCTGAATGTTTAAACTTACTGGAAGCTATAGAATTGTGTTCTTATTATTGAAAAAAAATACACTAACCAGTCCTTTTGCTCAACTCAGTTTAGTTTCTGACTCTCATATGTGGGATCTTAATCTCCAGCAGTCTGGTGAAGCCTGTGGACATCTTCTCAGAAGAATTTCTTAAAATGCACAAAATAAAATACATAGGATTGCAAAGAAAACACATTATATTGAAATCCTGTCATCAAGATATTTTAAAATAATTGCTAACAATCTATGTGCTTCTTTACTAACACAACTTATCTAGCAGTAAGTCTATAACTACCATGCTTTTTAAGTAGTGATGAGCATGAATAGCATTTCGAAATACCTTCAACACATACAATATGACATGGAAATATCTATAATCTCTTCTGGTACTTCTAATAACACTGTAGTTAGTCACCAAGCTTTATATTCATAATGAAGGAAAAGCTAAATGTCAGTTAAAATTGGAGAAAATATACCTTTTTTTCATCAAAATTTACAGGCCCCAGGTAAAAATCTCAGGTTTCTAATATCATGATGTCAGGGGTTTATTAAATCACTCCATTTAGGGCACAAACAGCAAGTAGACTTGTTTGGTTTGACCACAGAATTTTTAAAAATATCAAATTAATTAGCAAACTAATGAGATTTCATATAAAAAGTTATGCTTCTGGATTCTCTGGGGGAAAAAATATGAAGATCAAGCAACACTAGCCTAACATTCCAGCAAGGCAAGGTACAACCAGACTGAGCAGCAGTTGCCGCTTGTACAGCTTGTGTGAATGCTCCAGTCTTCACAGCAACTATAAGCCTTGCCTCACTCCTTTATGTTCTCTACTTGTCTCCTGTAGCTATCTCTTATATATAATATTTTCCATATCATCATAACTCTCCGGCTTGGTAGGAAGTAGTAGAGATTTGCTTTCCAATAAAGGAGGAGAGGGTTCTATTTATATACCCATTGTCGTCCCCATCTAATTCCTAGGACTCCATTTTTAGCAGTTGGCACACTTTGGACCAATGGACAGCCAATAAAGTTTTACTGAAATGCAACCATGATCATTTATTTACATATTATCTATGACTGCTGCGATGCACTGAGTTTTGTCCCCTGAAAATTAATATGTTGGAGCCCCCACCTCTAGTGTGATGGTATTTGGATATGAGGCCTTTGTGAGGTCATTAGGTTTAGATGAGGTCATGAGGTTGGAGCCCTCATCAGGAGATTAGTGCCCTTATAAGAAGAGACACCAGCAAGTTTGTTTCCTATGTCTCACTCCACCATGTGAGGACATAATGAGACGATGGCTGTCTGCAAGCCAGGAAGAGAACCCTTGCCAGGGAACCACATTGGTTGGTAACTTGATCTTGGACTTCCCAGACTCCAGAACTGTGAGTAATAAAATCCTGTTGTTTAAGCCACTCAGTGTATGGTAGTTTGATATGGCAGCCCACAATGAATAAGACTACTACTGCTTTCACACTCCAGTGGAAAAGTTGAGTAATTGAGGTTAGCCATCAAATTCTAAAATATTTACTATCTGGTCCTGGACAAAAAAGTTTGCCAACCTCTGCTCTAGTTGTTGGATGAAATTACCAGTTGCAGCTCTAAAACTTTTACATGGAGGAGTTTAAGGAAGGTTGGGGGGAGCTACATTTGCATAGCAGGCATCTTATTGTCCTGTAATGGAAGCAGCTAAAGAACGATCACATTCTTCTCTATTAGAGCCACTGCATGCTATACAATCCTCTCCACTGGGCCACTGGATAGGCTTATGTGGCCCGGACTGTACTCTACTATGGCTGGAAACTTGGCTTTGAAACCTGCTCCCCTACTTACCAGGAACATGCCCTCAATTACTGGCTTTTATAGCTATGAAATATCTATAGCATACTAAGGGCACAGTTTTGACTATACAATTTACAAGTGTCCATTGCAATAATTTTTACAATAATAGCAATAAGAACAAAATAGTTTTTATTAAAAATCAATTAGGAATAAAGTGAACAAGTGAATGAGAAACTCTATAAATCGTTGAGCGCATGTCTGTGAAATACTGCTGTGGAAAAAAAAAATGTCACCTACTTTGACAAACCAAAGCAACATACTATAGTCTAGAAGATACAGGTTTTAGAATTGTACAGAGATGGGTTCAATCCAGGCCCTAACTCCTATGTTATTTAGCAATAGCTGTCCCGATCTCAGAACCTCAACCTCCCCATGGGTGGGATGGAGACTGCACTCCCTTGTTTGTGGATTACTGACATTGAGTAAGATTTTTGTAAGTTAAATATGTTGAAGTGTCTGGCTATGTAGAATAGTCTCTCAAAATGGTAGTAGTTATTACTAATCAGTGGAGGATATTTTCTCACAGTTTCTCTTTTTCATGAGAATACCTTTTTTTTTCTGAAAATAAAGTGACACTGACTGACTGACAATACATCCTGTTCCCACTATTTTCCAACTTATTGAGACAATCCATCAAGAGAAGAAGGGCTAGAATTTAAAAAAAAAAAAAACTGACACAAGTTGTAATGGAGTAGGTTATAAAGGGAAGAAGCCATTTGATGTAACTCAGCACACTGGCACCTGCAGAGACAGGCACTTCGCTTCTGGGCCCCATTTAAAAAAAAATAACCTGAGTTTTCTGTCTCTAGCTACTCTTCCTATCAGATGTAGCCACACTCGTGTGTATGCACTGAGCTCTGACAACCAAGGGGAGATGTGTGTGTGTGTGAAAGAGAGAGAGAGAGAGTATATAAAAGAGAAACAGAGGTAACAGAGCTTTGTGATGAGCTAATTTTGAAGAATCCAAATTTATGTTCTTCTACTAGTGATTTGTCTTAATTGTCCCTCTTCAAGATCTTGCATTGCAAATATATCAGTTGATTGTTAGATATTAACTCCTGTGAGTTTCCTTACGTGCATTTGGGGGCGGGGGTGAATAACTGCCTATTTGATTTCGCAGGGATATTGTAAACATCAAATGAGATACGGCATAAACTTGTTTTGAGGAAGACAATGACAAATAATATATGTCTGGAGGAATGTAATGACAATGGATAGGGGTTTGGGTAATCTTGTAGTATAGGAGAAGATTTTAAAGCCAGCAAATTTTAGATTGGAGCTGATTTAACAGTCATCCCTCCGTATGCATGGGGGATTGGTTCCAGGACACCTGTGCAGACTCAAATCTGCACAAACTCAAGTCCCACAGTCAGCCCTCTGGAACCCACCTATATATAGGAAAAGGTCATCCCTCTGTATGCAAGGGTTTTGCATTCCACAAATACTGTATTTTCGATCCACAGCTGGTTGAAAAAAATTCACACATGAGTGGACCTGCACAGTGCAAACCTCTGTTTTTCAAGGGTCAACTGTACTATTAGAGTTTCAAGTCTCTAACAACCTTCCTTATAGAGAAGGAATTTGTCAATGTAGGAAGGCAGAGCATAGATTAAAGGTGACATTTCTGCTTAATACTGAAAGCGACTAACAAATAAGAAGAAATTTTCTTGCATTTGTCACTGCCTTAAGTTTCAATTATTTGTATTTCATATAATATTCACACTTGACTATGAGCTTCTTGAGCATAGGGACTTTATTTAGTCTTTGTGCTCTCTGCAGCTATTTACATTTTTCTCCTCACAGGTTCTAAATGCTCCATAACTTTGTTAACAAAAGTATAAAATGAAAATGATGTTCAAATGTCAATCAAATAAATGTGACACTGGTGGTACAAATACTACTCTTGCTAGTCTCATTCTTTCTTGGAACCCTGAGTAGGAATTACACTGATGCAATTATGTTAATTTCTATGTTGTTACAGTATAGACATTAATCTGTCTCTTGGAATGATTTTTTCCCTCTGGGTTAACTACAGGGAAGGTTTTACTTAAGGGGGTCGTGGAAGGGAAGGATTGTTATTTCAAAATACTTCACTTCAGACAGGCAATCATTTTAGATAAAATTCCTTAAGTATAGTTAGCCACATGTGTATTTCATTCTTGGCAATAAAAGAGCCCTAGACAAGGCCCAATGACCTATAAATCAGAGCTAGGAGATTTCTTTATGCAAATTAAATTTGTGTCACACTCATCAATAAAAAAGAAAATGGCAATGAAGATTAAATTCACAGCAGCAGTGCAAAGTAAAGGATTCCTATACTTATGTGTAGGCTATGTCAATGTGGCTAATTAATTTTTGAGATAGTATTCTTTGAAAGAATTAATGGAGAGTAAGCCGTGTGGATTGATTATTACATGGGAAGGAGGTTTAGAGAGTTGGTAATGTAAAATAGGCAACCAGCTTGATCACCCTTCCCAGCTTTAAAAAAAAATCTATGTAATAAAATGAGACAGTGATATTTATTTTATGGCAGTGTTATTAACTCCAAGAACTATGTCATAGTACAGTTTACAGTTTACTATGACATAGTACAGTTAACTATGTCATAGTTTCAGTTTACAGTTACAAGTTTTACTTGTTTTTCAAGTCTGTTTTTCATTTTGCATCTTAAATGATAAAAATCGAAATCTTTACTCAAATAATCAAGATGTGTTTTCTCTTAAAAAGTAAACAAAATATAAATAAAGAGAGAGAAAATGATGTCACTTTACATTGATGGGAATTTACTGCTGCAAAATCAAATAGCTTTTTCATTCCTCGGCTAATAGAGCATGACATATTAACTCTCCAAATACTAAGAGAAAGTGGATCCAAACAACATACCCGTTTCCTTAGATTGCAAGTAAGAGTGAGATTCCTTGAGAATGAGTTTGCAAAAGCCGTATAAAAGTCCAGGACTTTGAGCAAGGCTTCCCGCTTGATGATGTGTAGATCACAGTATGTCAGTGCCCGGACGTTGGCACACGCATGAGCAAGGGTGGTTTCCTTCCAGAAGATGTCTCCAAATACATCACCCTTCCCTGGAAAACAGTGTGAGATACATATTCAAATATCTACAACAGTTCTTATTGGAATCACTATAGTTATTCAGTTTCATATATGATACTGGTCATCCAGCATAATTTAGAGCTGAGAGCACATAGGCCTATCTGTATCCGCATAACAATGTACAACACTTTCATATAATATAGAAAGTAACATCACCCTAAATGCAATTATTGACGAAAATCTTGAGTGGCATGAATAAATGGAATCCAACAGAGAAGTGAACAAACTCATTTTAATAAACAATTTCATATCTTCTTCCACCTTAACTTTTTCCTATTCTGACTAAGAAGAAGGAAAGGTGACTTCTGAGTTTCATCTTTTGCTCCTTCTGGTAAAGACGACAATAAAATGTAATACACAAGGATCTGCTGTTGCAGCCTATATAAATCTAAGACTGATGCAACATATAGTAAACATACTTTATTCAGTAACTAAGTACTGTGATCCGATTAGACTAAAACTTGCCATGATTTAGCTCCCCAAGGATGCCTCAGAGCATAGCCCAAGAGCTCCCTACCCACGATTCCAAAGTTAAAGGAGCTGAGTTGGGTAAAACATGGAGCCCAGATTTGTTACCCCATACACAGTTCCATAAAAAGTGCTGTACTATAGTCAAAGGTAGATGCCTTTTTAAAATTCCAGAAATCACATGAAAAATCACCTATTTACTTCAGAGCACCATCCATTGGTAGCCTGAACTCAACCATGTACCATAAAGAGTACTTAGTTACCCAAATAAAGCAAATGAGGAACAGTGAAAGGTTAAAGGTCCCAAAAGGCTTTTGGGAACTGAGGTAGTTCCATAAGACCCCCTGAAATATATAGTCTTCTGAAGTATAGTCAACCGCATTCTTTGTTCGACTTCTATAGAATTGTGAGCTTTAAAGTGAAAAAAAAAAAAAAAGACAGGGGGAATATATCCAGGTGGGAAAAATCTTCGGAGAGGCACTCTGTCCCTGATGCATTCTTTTTGCACTCAAACCATAGAGACGAATAAATATCTGCTCTCATCATGCAGATAAAAATCACAATTAACAGGAAAAAAGAAGAAAGACATCATATGTCTTTCTTCCGGCTAGCCAGACTACCAGACAGAAAAGAAAGCATGTAACCAGAGAAATGAGAAAAAGAGAGACAAAGACAGAGACAGCTACAACTCAGAGGCAGGTTGAGTGAATGAGATTACAGATTCTTTGCCCACCTAGACAACTGGGAAGCCCTTAGAGAACTGTGGGGCTTGGGATTCAACCTCAAGAGGCACGCTAGAATAGAAAGAGAAAACATGCACATGATTGAGGAGGTGGTTAAAACCACCATGTGATCAGCATAAAATAGCCATAATGAATATTTACTTAATCTTAGGCAATGCATTTGTTTCTGGAAACTCCAAGAATTCCTTTTACTTAGTGACACTGATGAACTCAATTAACTGTCTAATAGCCACATACTTGTACAAGGAAGAAGATTAGAGACTTGGTACTCAAAGTCTCAAAGGTTATACAGTATCATAATAACCTAAGGGAGACTTAGCTATAGAAATTTAAAAGATAAACTCTACATTCTCTTACACATGGAAATTTCATAAATCTGTACAGGGCATTTTCTTTGAATTAGTAATCCCAATTATAGGTATTTATTCTAATTGCATAATAAGAAGTACCAAATTTACTTATAAAATGCTCACTGTATCAAACAAACCATACATATAACGTAATTTCATTTTATGAACTCTATCCCCACCTACTCAAACACAACATACGTACACACAAAACATGGAAGTAAATGCATCAAAATGATAGGCTCTCTCTGCATTATGGGATAATGTATGGGTTTTATTTTCTCTTAAAAGTTATGTGTATTATTTTGTAAATAGAAGATATCAACAACTGTTATATTACCATAGTCCCTGGTGCTACAAAAATAACAAGTTTCTAAAGGGCTGCTTTGATCTACCTCTTGTTCCTTTTCTTCTGTCATTATTGTTCATCTTTCTATACAGGTTTTTCCTTGAAAAGATGAAAAAAAGAGTACATTTCCCTATGATTCATTTCTGTGGCCCTTTCTCAAATTGCCAATTATAGTACAACTTCTGACCCCCTTATAAGCACTTGCTATTGCTCAACTATTTGATTTTCATGTGTGGTACATTTTAATAATCATCAATGCCTTTGACAGTAATTTGACTTCTGAGAATCAATCAAAAGACTAGAACCAACCCATGTAAAATTCATTGTAGTGTTAATCATAACCCTAGAATGGAAAAATAACTTTCCAATAACTATCGAAATTTTTAAAATATACGTAAAGTAACAATTCATACAGAATTAAAACAAGTTTTGAAATAACATGTAAAAAATGCTAACTGCTTACCTTATGATATTAAATGAAAAAATAAAGATACAAAGAATAATATTATAGTTACAGCTTTAACAAAATACATAAAAATGAAACTGAAGTGCCAAGACTATAAGAATTATCAACTAAGAAATCTATTTTGTCTTCTTTTCTTAAAGAAAAAGTCTCTCAATAGAACCAAAGTATATTTTATAATTATATATTATTATAGTATATTATGTTATTATTAATTTGTCTGTTGATAATAACTTCAGCTAAAAGGCAAAAGGTATACAAGACTAAAAGAAAATATATTTGGATAATAACAGCAACTGGTTTCAAGTGGTGTGTTTAATGTTTTACTTCTTTCTACTCTATGTTTTCCAAATTTTTCTGCAGATTATGAATCTGCATAATCATTACTTTTAAAAATCACAAAATATTGTCAAAGATATCTTTCCTTATACTTTTTAATAAAATTGAATTCATAAAATATATACACAGATTTGTAGAATAGTAAATAAATAATCTTTGAATGTTAAATGTATTGTCAGTAGATAAAACATAATTAATATATAAATGTAATTGTCCTTTACCAATATAAACTATTTTTAATTTCAGAGGCATTCAATATCTATTATATCTTTTTTAACTTAACTAATGAAATCAAAATTTTGACCCTATTTCTAACTAAAGTTTTAAAATTTAAATTGTTTATCTTTTTAGTATCATGGGGAAGTAAAAAGTCTATGATTTGAAAAGAATAGCAATAAACCAGAATATAAACTCATGATAAATTTCATCACCTGCTCCTCCCCCAAAAAGTTCAGAGAAGCATAGTAAAATTAACAAATGTGGCTAATTCTGCTCCCAACACCAGAATTCACTTTATATAATAAATAATATTAATTGTTGCACAACACAGAATTTCCATTAGGATACACAATATATAAATTAGACGTTAATCTAATCAACCATTTCAAAATGTGTTTGTTTTATCCAGCTTTGTATATCACCCAATGGGCATTCAATTTACAATACACTTTTATGACGCTTCTGGGAAGATGGTCATCTTGTAAATAAATTAGTTTGCCACCCACAGCAAAGCTGGCCAATGTCCTTCTTTAAGCACAGTATGCACACATTTACACTAAGTAATTACCGAAATCATAGGTTGTGGATATATGGGATTACGCATGGAATATTCAAAAGAGAAGAGCCCTTTTCTTCATTGCAAAGGTGTTTTCAGGTTTGGGGACTCCTGTTCGTCCTCATGACTGTAGAACATTTGATGCTGGTTTTTAGGTCAGCTCCTGAGCTATAGTCTCAGCTATAAACATTTTAGATCTTGAGAGAACTAACCTCCCCCCAAAGTCCCTAAAATTAGTAGAAAAGCTCACACTAAACATGAAAGTTGTTGTTTGGTCTATTTATATATTCTCAGTATTTCACTGCTAAACCACAGGAAACTGAATTGTAAAATAGAAGTTAATGTTAAAGATTCATATGGTGGGAAACTGGAAAATTTAAAGACAAAAAAGCGACAGAGTTACAACATAATTAAAGGAGTAACACAGACCGTGGTGTGCTTGGGGAGTATGGTCCCCTAAGAGGCTGGGTTTGCAGCCAGATTTTTTGGTAAATATCAGATACTTTATTTGCTGAGTTAATGAAATGGATAAAATAAATGCATAAAAATTACCGAACTTATTTATTGGTGAGAATATCTAACTAATATATCCAGAGTTCCCCAGCAAAATATCATTTGATTTTATCTAGGTAGCTTCCTGTCAGTGTTTGTAAGGATATGATAATGGCTCAATTTGAAGATTCTTCTATACAATGAACTTAAACCACATATTCACTTATTTTTATAAATAAATTTTACTGTATACACTTGAGGTTTACCACTTGATGTTATGGGATACATGTAGATAGTAAAATGGTTACCATAGTGAAGCAAATTAACATACCTATCATCTCACATATTAGTGTGTGTGACAAAACAGCTAAGGTCTATTTAACAAAAATCTCTATTACAATATAGGTATACCCCTCATTTGATTGTGCTTTGCTTTATTGCACTTGGCAGATACTGTATTTTTGCAAATTGAGGTTTTATGGAAACCCTGTGTCAAACAAGTCTGTTGGCACCATTTTTCTAACTGTACAAGATCACTTTGTGTCTCTGTGTCATATGTTGGTAATTCTCACAATATTTAAGATTTTTTTATTGTTATTATATCTGTTATGGCGATCTGTGATTGGCAATCTTTGATGTTATTAATACTATTGTAATTGTTCTGGGGTGCCACAAATCGCATCCATGTAAAATGGTGAACATAATCAATAAACGTTGTGTGTGTTCTGGCTGTTCCACCAACCAGCCATTCTCCAGTCTGTCTCTTTGCTTCTCCTTGGGCCTCCCTGTTCCTAAGACACAACAATATTGAAATTGAGCCGATTACCCCACAATGGCTTCTAAGTGTTAAGTGAAAAGAAAAGTCTCACATCTCTCACTTTAAATCAGAACCTAGAAATGATTAAGGTTGTGTGGAAGACATGTGGAAAGCTGACATAGGCCAAAAGCTAGGCCTCTTGAACCAGACAGCCAAGGTATGAATGCAAAGGAAAAGTT